GAGGAGATTGTTCGAAGGACTCGAAGATTGATTGAGCTTGCACGTCTAGGGAATGACAAATTAGATACTGATTGTAGGGAAGTATTCTTGTAAATAATAGTTTTAGAACAGTTTTTTCAGGTAGATAGTATACTGGTTGTTGCAGAAGATTGTTTCTGCCTTGTAAAGAGACCCAGATGTGCATTCCCTTTCTTTGGGGAACACATTGAGCTTTTAATGAGATTTTTTACCGACATCCACTTTTCCTAATCAAATACACTAGGTCTTCGAGGCCCAGCTTCGCGAAGGTGGTCCCTCTTGACGGTACAACAAAGTTATTCAAAGTTTGATATTGCTCCTCCTTCCCCGTTCAGATTTATGGGTTCCATACTTAATTGATTATGCTCCACCATATGTGTGAATTTGCAAGAGAATTGGGAAGAGGAAGCTCAGTCTAACCGGCTGAGTCCTCTATTCCTTTTATAGATAGGAAATCAAATTAGCAGTAGCTTTACAAGTGTCCAAACACTATTGGTCTATTAAGAAGCTAACAGTGCTTCTCTAACGGCTAACAACGATAAACTAAACGATAACGTTTTCAACATAATTAAAAGTTGTAGTAGAGACACGACGACGTTTTCTTCTACTCTTCTTCTTCCTGCTGCAATCCGCAAGCCTTCAGGATTCTTCCTTCTTCTGCAAATCACTGCTGCTCTTCTGTCTCCGTACCTTGACATCCCCCCTTAAGTTGGCGATTCAATTCCATTCTTAATCCCCAACTTGACCAGTAACTCAGCAATTCTAAACCTGTCTAAACCCTTAGTGAACAAATCTGCCAATTGATTTGCAGTTCCAACATGCTGAAGCTTGATCAGTCCACTCTTAATTCTTTCTCTTGTAACATGCATATCTATCTCTATATGCTTAGTCCTTTAATGGAAAACAGGGTTTTCTGCAATATGTATTGCTGATCTGTTGTCACAATAAATTGGTATAAGAAGGGGTACCTGTACAGTTAACTCAGCAAGCAATCTTCTCAGCCAATGTACTTCACAGACCAAGTGTGCTAGAGCTTTGTACTCTGCTTCTAAAGAGGATCTGGACACTACTGTCTGCTTCTTTGTCTTCCAAGTGAGAAGTAATGATCCAAGAAATGTACAATATCCTGTCACAGATCTTCTAGTGTCAGGGCAGCTTGCCCAATCAGAATCACTATAGCCAATCAACTTCAATTCTGCTATGCTGCTAAAGTGTATTCCCTGCCCTGGTGAGGTTTTCAAATACCTCAGAACCCTGTATGTTGCCTGCATATGTTCCCGACAAGGGTTCTTCTGATACTGGCATAGCTGCTGTACTGGGAATGCCACATCTGGCCTTGTGATTGTCAGATAATGCAATCTCCCAATTAACCTCCTGTATCCTTCTCCATCTTCTAACAAAGTTCCTTTTGCAGTCAATTTTACCTTACAGTCCATAGGTGACTTGCATCCTTTGGCTTCAAGGTAACTTGTGTCCTTCAACAAATCAGTACAATATTTCCTCTGACATACACTTATGCCTGCATCATTTCTGGTAATTTCCAGCCCCAAAAAGTACTTCAATGGTCCAAGCATCTTCAACTTGAATTCTTTGCTCATAGCTGTTTTGACTTGATTTATGTCTTTCTGAGCATCACCACCAATGATGATGTCATCTACATACACCAGAAGTACCACAACCTTGCCATGGACCCATTTTGTAAAGAGTGAGTAGTCTGAAGCAGATTGAGCAAAGCAAAGTTTCATCAGGTTACCTGTTAGCTTTGCAAACCACTGCCTAGATGCTTGTTTAAGTCCATAAAGAGACTTTTTCAGTTTACAAACCATAGTTTGACCATTAGACTCTGGCACTTTTTCAGTTTCTTCAAGATTCACTTTAATTTGAATGATTTAGGGTTTAGGAATTTAGGGTTAGGGTTATGGTTTACAATTTTGGATTTTAGGTTGAGATTCAAAATTGAAGATTAATAGAAAGGATAATGGATTGATTAGTTGTGATTATGTGTTATATAATCATATTAGAATAATGCTATACATTATATTCAAAATTTGATGTATTATGACCACTTTTAATGTTGGTGCATTGAATGCATTAAAAAAAGTGTGAGTGCACCGAAATAATCATCTATATATAAATAAAGAGAATAGAATACATAATTGCTTGTTTTTATATTCCTATTTGACCAATGCACAGGTAAATAGTTACATGGAACCAGATACCCATACTTGTCCCTATGAGAATGGGAAGAAATGCCTCACGGAATCAATACAACAGAGCCAGACAGCAGTGGTCTTCCAGCTCTCCAAGTCTGCTTGTGCCTTCGCAGCTTCAGATAAAGGGTGTGACTGTGTGTGCGGTATGGTTCGACTCCCTCGGGGATGGGATTAGGTGCTAATCCTTATAGGGATTGGCACCGTGATAACTATTGTTTCAACCATTAGATTAAAATATAATCCTACGATTAAAATTAAAAGAAGGTTATTTTGGTCACTAAACATGCCCAAACCCTAATATATATTCAAAAATTTCCGCCTCTACACTTTCCGTCTTCCTCTTCCTCTTTCAACCGCCGTCTCTCTCTTCCGCTTGCTCTGTAGATAAGGGTTGGTTTTGCAGCGAGATGGTGATCCAGCGTCGCTCGCCACCAGCGTCCCTCGCCGCCAGCGTAAAAGAAGACGATGGGCTGGAGATGTGTGTCGATCCCGCAGAGAGCCCAAGATCCATCAATCGCCGCCGCAACGAAGTCGATTTCCAACCGCAACGGCGCCGGCCTTGCCTGCGTTGGCTTCCCCACTACCATTGCCGATCGCTCGTGGATAGCATGCGTGGAGGCAGAACGAGAACTTTTTTCCAGATCTATATTATTATTTGATTAGTAGTGATTGTGGTGTATTGTTTTTCACATGTATTAGTAGTTATTGTTATTGTAATCAATAGTTGAGCAGTGATATTTGTAAAGTATTAGTAGTGTTTTGTATATTAGTAGTAATATTTGTTCTTTGTATTACTTTTTTCATTTACAGTATAATTCTTTCCAAATATCATCAACTTCTTCTATTTAAAAAACGCTACTAAAAACAACGAAATCACTACATATTATTATAAAATCAATACAACATCTAAGCTAAATCACTACTAATTCAAACTAGTAGTAGTTTTTTCCCTAGTATTTTTTCACGTTAAAGTACTTTGCGGAGGAGGAGAGAGATAATTAAAATTTAATTTATTTATTAAATTTAATTTTACTGGATACCAATAAAGCCCTTCATTGCTCCTTGGGACGGTGCTAACTCTTGTACAATTAGCACCGTAACTCCTCCCCTCCCTCGGTGTTCAGAGAGGAAGCTCTTTTTCATTTTTTGGAACCGCTGCTACTGCTAGTGCTGAATTTAGAACTCGACATAGAAGTTTAGTTCTTAACGTCGGTTTAGGAAAAAACCAACTAAATTAGTTAGTAAATAAGGAGAAAAACTTCAGTGGGACGGGTTCACCACGTCACTTATCCCACTTGGTGAACTCTCCCAATAGAAACCGGCTGCGTTTACATTTAGTCTATTTATTGCTCTCCTAGTTTTCCTTTTTCTTCTTTTTCCTTTCTCTTCTTCGTTGATGCCCAGCTCTGGTTGTTTTCTAACCCCTCTTTTCCCTTCGTCTTCTTCCCAGTCTTAATCAGCGTTACATCGTAGGATTATGCAAACTGCAGCCGGATAAACGAACGCGGCCAGGTTCGAATCAGTTACCCTTTATCAGGGCTCAACCGCTTACCCTACTGCGGCCTAGAGAAGTTCCATTCCATTTGCAGCGTTGGCATAACCCCGATGATCGGCATCTTCAGATTCTCCGAATCGATGAGCCATCACGGACCCTTATCCTTCTGGGATTTTTTAGATCATGCGCCAGACACTCAATTTGTTGTGCTCTTCTATGATTGTCCACCGCCGCAGGTCGGCATTCAACTTCGATGAGTATTGGAAAGCACAATTACAGCGATTCAGAGGATTACTTTCTTCCGAGCGAAAACGTGCTCGAGGGATTCGGGATTCTGCCAGGATTTGGGTGGAATTGTGCCAGAATCAAGTTAGTATGCCGACGAATCGAACAGAACTGGGGAGGTCGTCGTCGCCAACACAGGCGGACAGGCTGACGTTGATGATTTGCCGTGGTTCTGTGGTGTGCGATTTAATGAGAAGGCGGCGCGTTTGATCGATTGCTTTTTCTTCTGTCAAGCTTACGCCTCCGATTGTTTGCTCCAGCCCAGGAGTTAATTTAGAACTAGAAGACCGGAGATAGAAAAGAACCTTTGCTGAAGCATCAACGAAGAAGACGAAGGGGAAAGATAAAAAAGGAAAAATCCAGGAAATAATAATTAAAATAATTGTGAACGTGGCTGGTTTCTATTGGTAGGGTGCACCAAGTGGGATAGGTGACGTGGTGAGCCCGTCCCACTGAAGTTTTTCTCATAAATAAGTACTTCAAGTGGATTTCTTTTTTATTTTTTTTTAACAAACACAGACACCTAGGACACGTCTTTGCTAGTATTAGAAATGAAAACGTTCTTGGGAAATTTCCACTACATTAAAAATTAGATTTGATACCCAAAACTCGGATAGTACACGATCGATGGAATCTATACCAAAAGTAAGTCTATGACCTATAATAGTCTAACATTTGATGAATTTCTTCCTCACCGTCGGTCTATATTTCTAAGTCCCTCGCGTACATGCACTCTCACACATACACTACAGCCTTCGCCCTAAGTCAATAAAAACCGCTGGTAGTAAATCAAATCCTAGTCATGGGTCGAAACCACCCACTTTAGAATTTCATATCGATCAGCGTCTACCTTCTTAGAAGGGCATCTAACCGCCAAAATTTGATGAAATTTTTTCATCAACAGCAGATTGTCAAACAAATTGTCAACCAGTAGACTGTTAAGCTAGCACTCACATCAAGAGCCGTTAAGACAGACAGTCATCATAGCCAAACCACCCCACTCGCAAAAACCATGGTTGGTCAAAATTGCCTCGCATCGGCAAGCTATGAGTTAATATGCAAAATATCTCCAAGCCAAACACGACCTTCCTGATCAACTGAAGACAATATCTACAACTGTAAGAGGACGTAAAAATCATCAGGTAATGGAATAAATAGTTGCGTGGAACTAAACCCGAAATTCAAATGGAAACTCTAATCAAAATACCTGATCGCCTGGAAAGTACTTCTTATCTGCTTGTACCTGTCATAACAAACAAGTACACTTGTTATACGAATTTCAGAAGCCATTCATTTCACTCTCCAACCTTTTTTTTATTGCTTTTGTAGATAAAGAAACACTTGCCAGCCAGTCTGCGGAAATTCTCACCATACGCTTGTACTGTAAAAATTGATTAGAAAAAGAAGGTTGCTAGATTACAATCTCAAATAAATCGAATAGAAAATCACTAATTAACATATATTAGAGAGTGGTATATGATCCAGTATAACCTTTTCCCAACAACTCGAGTTATTGGGATCAACTGGTTCATGACATGGTATCAGAGCCTTCTGTGACCGAGAGGTCTTGTGTTCGATTCCCGGTGACCCCCACTTGTTAAGCATATGGTATTCTTGTCTTCAGAACTGTGCAAACTTCAAGTCCTTGTGACTGGCTTTCGTTTGAGGGGGCGTATTAGAGAGTGGTATATGATCCAGTATAACCTTCTCCCAACAACTCGAGTTATTGGAATCAACTGGTTCATGACAACTTACACTTCACCGCCTTGAGCTTCAAGGTAGCTTGCAAAAGATAGCAGAGAAAGTTAGGGAATAAGACAACCGCTGCCCGTCTTTTTTCCTCCAGAGGAACTCCCTACCATAGAGATGCAGACAAAACGATTAGGTCCAAAGCTCCTTTTTTTATGATTTTTTTCCATAGCAAATAAAAATGTTGCATATTTATATTTTAGATGTTGGGAAACTAACCTCACAATGACCAAATAGGGCTCTGATGTAGAATAGAATGCGCTGAACCGGATAAATTCTCCATCCGTCCACAACTTTGGCCCTTGCGTGACCTCTCCAATGAGATTCTGCGATATTAATCGCCCGGAGATTCTGGCAACAGGTTCAACGTTTGCGACCAGTCTTTGATAGTCTATTCCCCGCGACGATAACTGTTCTAATACTTCTTGGATGTCCTTATTGCTCCAATAGAGCATCCTCAGTCTATTAATTATATCCGATTTCCTTGTTAGGTTCATGGTGCACGGATGGCAATAAATGAGACCACGTATATGTAAATTATCCGGGCTAGGCTGTAGAAACCAAACAAAAAAACGTTAGCAATTAAAAAAAAAAGATTATGTTTACACCCTATAAATTAATTAATCATTCAAAAGTGAATTTAGAAGGAAAAGAGTTACTTTACTATTTTACTTAGCCCCGATGATTGTTCAACACGGTTAACAGATGTTGTACTTCCTATAGAATATCCTCCTCCTGAGTCAAGGAAAACATATCATGTATTGCATTGGCGAGATCTCTAAAATCTTTGGTTGTCTTCTGTATCCACTGTTTCCTCCTAGCAGGTGACTCATCGGCTTCCCCAAACCATCTGGACTCAAGTACCCACTCCACTCTTCCTCCTGCGTATTTCGGGTTTCTACTCTGAATTTCCTCACTAAAGTTGAGACCAGGATAGTATCAATGGAGATGTTTCCATCTTCATGCCTAGCGCCCAAATTAATTTATTTTTTTCCATAGCAAATAAAAATGTTGCATATCTATATTTTTTATGTTGGGAAACTAATCTCACAATGACCAAATAGGGCTCTGATGTAGAATAGAATGCGCTGAACCGGACAAATTCTCCATCCGTCCACAACTTTGGCCCTTGCGTGACCTCTCCAATGAGATTCTGCGATATTAATCGCCCGGAGATTCTGGCAACAGGTTCAACGTTTGCGACCAGTCTTTGATAGTCTATTCCCCGCGACGACAACTGTTCTAATACTTCTTGGATGTCCTTATTGCTCCAATAGAGCATCCTCAGTCCATTAGTTATATCCGATTTCCTTGTTAGCTTCATGGTGCACGACTAGCAATAAATGAGACCACGTATATGTGGCTAAATTACACATTTGGTCACTCGAATTACATAAATCTTTCATGTTTGCCACCCAAATTACTTTTCTTTCATATTAGCCACTAACTTTACGATTCGTTACACCGTTAGTCACCCTCTGTTAGACTCCGTTAAAGCCATCATATTTTTTATGATGTGACAAACAGAAGTGCTGACTATACCGTCAAGTCAATTAAAAAAATTAAAAAATTAAAAGAAAATAAATAAACAAAAATAGGCAGAGGAGTAGTGGCCCCTTCCCCTCCATCGTATTCTTCTCCTTCCCCATCTTTACGCAAGAGTTGGGTCATGGAAATCTATTCCATCAAACTCCAGCTCCACCACCGCTCCGCTTGGGCAAAATAGCACCGGCGGCTCCGTCCCCTGGTGGCGGCACTCTGCCGCTGCACGATTTCTCCGTCTCCCCCGACTCCCTCCTCGTCTGCAACCGCGAAGAGAAGAAAATCCACGATGCCTTCTATACCGTCGGAGCTCCTCTCTCCGAATCTTACATCACCGGGTTCTGGTCCCAAACTAGTGCGTACTGGCCGGGGATGGACGTGACCAACCCAGAAAAATGAGAACTCCAAATCGACCTCTCCTCGTACCCTCAATCTCAATATGCCACTGCTCTGCTCTTGTCGCCGGCGATAACGAATACAGTAAGTACTTTGTTCCTTCCCAATGCTTGTTGATTTTTAGGGGTTTTGTTTGATTCCAAATTTGAGGAGTTTTAATTTTGATTTTTAGGGGTGGTTATTTTTTGGAAGATTTCCCTAGATCTGGAAGAAGAAACTGGGGAGGACGACAACGACGGATCGATGTTGATACGTGCAACGGATAGTATCAATGGAGATGTTTCATCTTCATGCCTAGCGCCCAAATTAATTAATTTTTTTCCATAGCAAATAAAAATGTTGCATATCTATATTTTAGATGTTGGGAAACTAACCTCACAATGACCAAATAGGGCTTTGAGGTAGAATAGAATTCGCTGAACCGGGTAAATTCTCCATCCGTCCACCACTTTTGCCTTTGCGTGACCTCTCCAATGAGATTCTGCGATATTAATTGCCCGGATATTCTGGCAACAGGTACAACGTTTTCGACCAGTCTTTGGTAGTCTATTCCCCGCGACGAGAACTGTTCTAATTTCTTGGATGTAATTATTGCTCCAATAGAGCATCCTCAGTGCATTAATTATACCCGATTTCCTTGTTAGGTTCATGGTGCACGGATGGCAATAAATGAGACCACGTATATGTTAATTATCCGGGCTAGGCTGTAGAAACCAAACACCAAAAAACGTTAGCAATTAAATAAAAAGATTATGTTTACACCCTATAAATTAATTAATCGTTCAAAAGTGAATTTAGAAGGAAAAAGAGTTACTTTACTATTTTACTTAGCCCCGATGATTGTTCAACACGGTTAACCGATGTTGTACTTCCTCTGGAATATCCTCCTCCTGAGTCAAGGAAAACATATCATGTATTGCACTGGCAAGATCTCTAAATTCTTTGGTTGTCTTCTGCATCCACTGTTCCCTCCTAGCAGATGACTCATTGGCTTCCCCAAACCATCTGGACTCAAGTACCCACTACACTATGCATCCTGCGTATTTCGGGCATCTACTCTGAATTTCCTCACTGAAGTTGTGACCAGGATAGTATTAATGGAGATGTTTCCATCTTCATGCCTAGGGCCCAAATTAATTAATTTTTTTCCATAGCAAATAAAAATGTTGCATATCTATATTTTAGATGTTGGGAAACTAACCTCACAATGACCAAATAGGGCTCTGAGGTAGAATAGAATGCGCTGAACCGGATGAATTCTCCATCCCTCCACAACTTTTGCCCTTGCGTGACCTCTCCAATGAGATTCTGCGATATTAATCGCCCGGAGATTCTGGCTACAGGTACAACGTTTGCGACCAGTCTTTGATAGTCTATTCCCCCCCCCCCCCGACGAGAACTGTTCCAATACTTCTTGGATGTACTTATTGCTCCAATAGAGCATCCTCAGTCCATTAATTATACCCAATTTCCTTGTTAGGTTCATGGTGCACGGTTGGCAATAAATGAGACCACGTATATGTAAATTATCCGGGCTAGGCTGTAGAAACCAAACACCAAACAACGTTAGCAATTAAATAAAAAGATTATATTTACACCCTATAAATTAATTAATCGTTCAAAAGTGAATTTAGAAGGAAAAGAGTTACTTTACTATTTTACATACCCACGATGATTGTTCAACACGGTTAACAGATGTTGTACTTTCTCTGGAATATCCTCCTCCAGAGTCAAGGAAAACATATCATGTATTGCACTGGCGAGATCTCTAAAATCTTTGGTTGTTTCTACATCCACTGTTCCCTCCTAGCAGATGACTCATTGGCTTCCCCAAACCATCTGGACTCAAGTACCCACTCTACTCTAAAATATAGGGCACTGTTCCGGACCGGGTTGCATGATGTCGGGTGAACCGGAATCGGGTCGAACCGGAAGTGGGCCAAACCGGTCTGAGCAGCGGCTGGTGAGATCGGCTAGTATGGATCCGAGCATGTGGCAAGGGCCGTACGGGATAGGGTATGCGACGGATCAGCCCGGTCGAGGGGCCGCGGGCAGCGTCGGGCGAGGAAGAGGATCACCGTTCTACCAGAACCAGCCAGGGGGTGACTCGGGTTATGACAGGTATGGTTCGTATCACCCTGCCTATGATGGAACTGATGGGATGGTCTTTCGAGCCAAGCCCCCGACCATTGAGTTCCCGAAATTCAACGGTCAGGAAGATGCAGGGCTGTGGTTGTATGCAACGGAGAGGTGGTTCAGGAATCACCCCCTACCGGAGGAGAGGAAGGCGCATCTGGCGTCCTTCTACTTAGAGGGTGAAGCACTGCAGTGGTGGGAGTGGATGGAGAGATCCTACGGGGCGACGGGAACCTTGATTACCTAGTCGATGTTTCAGGAGGAGCTCCGTTACCAGTTCGGTAAATCGGAGGGGTGGGCTCCGGTTTAGTTGGCTAAGCTGAAGCAGACCGGCTCAGTTGCGGATTATCGTGCGGAGTTCTTCAAACTGGGCAATCAATGTCGGGGGGTCCCAGAGGATACATTGGTGGGGCTGTGTATGGCAGGCCTAAAGCCGGAGATGGTTGCTGTCGTCCGGGTCTTTGAGCCGGATTCCTTGAAATCTGCTTTTCGTCTTGCAGGGTACGAGGAAGAGGAGCTTGCAAGTTGGAGGAACACCATAGGCCGCTATCCGCGGACCAGTGGCGCCGGGAGCAGTAGTGGAGCTGGCAGTGGAGGAGGATGAGGCGTGGCTGGAGTCAGTGCTGGAGCTGGGGGATCAACGGTGGAGTCAGCGCCAGTGGCTGTGACGAAGGGTGGGATGCGACCGCCACCGAAGGGGTTTGTGCGGTTAACCCTTGCGGAGATCGAGCAGAAGAGGCGAGGAGGGAAGTACTTTAATTGCGACGAGAGGTTCACGATCGGTCACAAGTGTGCACGTCCCTACTTGATGATGCTGGTCAGAAGGTGGGAGGACGAGGCAGAGGACGAGGCGAGAGAAGGAGAAGAAGCAGTGGAAGGCTACCAACCTTGAGGACAAGGTTGTTTTGAAGAGAGCGGGAATGATAGACGATTTGATTATTTGGGATTTATGTTCGGATTGAATTGTTTTGTTCGGGCTTATTTTGGTTATTGGGGAATAATTTAGGGATTTATAAGTTGGGGTAGTTAGTAAGTAATTGTGTTTGGATATTTAAACTATTGTTTTACGTAGGAAAGGCAAGCAAAGATTAAACCTAAATCCTACTGCTCTCTCTCTCTCTTCCCTTCCCCTCCCTTGGCCACCGAGGCCTCTTTTCCCCTATCCCCTACTGCCGATCGGCAACCTTCCCTCTCCTTCCTTCTTCTCCCATCAACTCCCCCTAAATCAATCCTTCCTTCCAATCCCTAAATCCCGTATCAATCCCTAATTGATCCCAAGCCCTAATTCCTCGATAGAGCTATAATCCCGAGCTCTATCAGCCAGGTTAACGTTCATAATATATGACCCCAACTTCTTATTTTCACCAAACACTAGTCTGCATAAATTCAGCTCAACATTGGCTGCTATTTTCTTTTGCTAGTTTTAGCATGCAAGATTAGACGCATCATTATTAGCCATATGAGGTCATGGAGTTTCTCTTTTAAATGGGGGGTGAGTGGTCATGGTCGGTCTCGTGGAGCTTGCTTTCTTTCTTGAATGGATTGGAAGCAAATAGAATATAGATATAGTGGTAGACTAGTTATGAGGAATGAAGGAAGGGTAAAAGAAGACTATATAGATTTTGTAAAATTAAAAAATACAAGTGAAATCAAAGTACCTATTTGTTGACGGTACAGAACAAGGGAGCTTAATTTCATGGAGTCTGCAGAGTATAACACACAATAAAATAAAATCATTATTCTCATCTCATGTGGAAATTAAATAAATGTATATGGTATTTCAATCACAAGTCCATAGCAAGCATATTATAGTTTGTTGTGTCATCCAAAAGAAATCGACTTAGAAGTAGTGGTGGAGCCACGTTAGGGATGTGGGATCCATGGACCCCATGAAATTTAGAAAAACTCACTTAAAACTTATTTTTTGGGTTGAACAAGCATCCAAACTTGATAGGAAGAAAAATATAGATACTATTATCTAGTTCTTTTCGAATTTATATCATAAATATAATGAACGTTACAACTTATATAATTCATGTATAACTGAACTTTGATTAAGTGATTCAAAATAATGTTTGTGCATAAGTAAAAGCAAATTAGTTGAACTTTTGACCCTACTTTGAATTTTTTTTTTTTTGGCTAAGCAAGCCAATGCTTAGAAGAGCTGAGAAAACAATAAAAAAGACGAAAGTGATCATTAAACCTAACCCTTCTGAGCAACCAGGAAAAGATCAGAAGATGGCATTATGTAAAGACTTACATTCATAAGGGAAAAAGTCATCAGGATCACTTACATGAAGACAACTGAGAAATTGGCCAAAATGGAACAGAAGTGAAGATACATAAATGTAGTAATTTGCACCTCCAACGACAATTCATTATTCATGGGCAAGTGCGACGTCTTATGTAATTGATGATCTGAAAATAATAAATCCACCAAGTAAATTTTTTAGGATATATATTATTTCTATTTTTGCCAACACTGTGTTTTGCTATAATCTTTGTTGAGATCAGACCTTTAAGCTTTGAAATCTTTTATAGGCTAAAGAAAATCATCATATTGGGTCTCATTTGTCCTCAGTGACATACCTCTCATCTCACTAAACTTTGACAATTGAGGGAAGGATAATGACAATTGGACATTAGATACCATCAAACTCAATAAGTTGTCCATCCATCCAATTTTCTATTTATTTGACTAACGTGCAACGATACATTATTGGCTACACCCAGCGTACCACATTATCATGCGTTGCTGGTACTCCAAACAAATGAAAAGCTGACACGTGGATGCATTTAATATTAAAATTATTTATGAGCCCAACTTCATCTCCTCTTTCCTTCTCTGGAGACGCCACTTCCCTTTCCCCGCACCCTAATTCCAATTTCAATCTTCTCAGCTCTTTTCTTTTCCAGCAATTGAGACGGCCACTCCTTTCAATAATACCAATCGGTGCCGTCAAACAATCGGGCGGGACTCTCTCCGGTGTTAACATCGGCCGCTCGTCTGATTGAAATTGGCGTGTAGGTCTTCTAAAGCTTCATCCAGTGAAGCGATGGCGTGTAGGTCTTCTAACTGCGGAATTCAAAGCTATCGGGACTGGAGGTTGAATCGTCTTCGGTGGAGGGAACAAAAGAGGTGTTTGAAGTAAAACTCAGCACACAATCGTTGGAGTAGGCCGCCCAACGTTTCCTTGATTTGCGCTGGGAAAACTGGGTCACGAAGTACACGTTGCCGACATATTATGCTTCATCGAGCTGGGCCGAAAGTTCGGGGCAAGGCCCTGCACCAGCACTCCCTAGGAAAAGGAATGACCCATATTAGAAAGGAACCCAGGAATCGTTTGGCAATACGAACATGAAGAAGCAAGTACAAACCAATTCGTTCATCCAGAGTGTTGCGCGCTCCGTGAATCCGCCGGCCCAAGCCGGGTTTCCAGCTGTCCATGAATGAAGGAAGCGCAATTTGAGGACAAGAGATTTGTCCGTCCAGGAGAGCTTGGAGAGCAGGATATGATTCATGACTTAGGGTAGCAGAAGATTTGAGAGCGATAAAGGGTTTTGGCGGAGAAGGATAGGTTGGAATCGGGGAGAGGATAAAACTACGGGAAAATGGGCATAAATGGAGTATGAGGGGTGGAACAGAGGCCATAAGCGAGGCTTTCCCTCAACCAAGGCAGGCATGGAGGGGTGTACGATGGGAGTTGGCGTGTGTCAGCAAATGCAGCGAGGTCCGGCAGCGGTGGCGTGTATACAAAACAACAAAGACATGGGAACTTGGACCAGGTGTGGCGTTAAAGGTGTAAAGATGGTAAAGGAGCCAAGCAGAGGTGCTAACCTGTGGATTTCCCAGCATGGGCGGCTGTTCTAGAGAGGGAAGAAGGGTGTTTCGCGGAGCTCTTAGAACCAGCAGCAGAAGAGGACAAAAATGATACAGTAAGCAAAAAATTGGAACAAAAAGCGTACTTAGCTTTTATTTATTAAAGAATTAAAGAATTGGCTACGCCAAGGGAAAATGAGTCCACTTATACAAGTTGTGTAAGCCAAAATGCAAATATAGTAACAAAGACAGTCAATCATACTGTCATATATATACCAAAACTACAAATAGGGAGACATGCTAGTCCTCATATACCGAGCGATGAAGCCATATACCGAGCTTAAACATTACCAATAACATGATGAAAGTGATCTCGACTCTCGATCAACAAAATAGGCAGAACTCAGATTAAATGCAACAAAATGGTCAATTTCATAACTACAAGATCGACGATTGTCTTTGATCCGTCGTGTAAAATATAACTACAAATTTTTGTTGATATATGCATATTCAATTTAAACCGATCAATCAAGATCAGAAATAAATGAGGCAAACATCATTTTATTATTCTATTTCCAAACGTCACAGGTACATATATAACTAATTAAGCCCTCAACATCAAACATCAGAAGCTATATATCTGCAACATAATTGAGACTAACACAACCAATATCACACACATTATTTATAGTACTCCAAAATCCAAATACATGTACTACATAAACCATATACATACGTACATGGATGATAATAGTGACCAATCAATCATCGTTGAGAATGCGATCAATTACGCGGCATTCCCTGAGCAACCGGCGGAGGCGCCATGGCGCTGCCATTAGTGAACCGGGCAGCATGGGCTTCCCAGCCCTTGGAAGGGTTAAGGTCTCTGTTGTTGAGCTCTCTGTACTCTTGGCATACAGCGCAAGGCCCGCAGCACCAGTGCAATATGCAGTCCCCGCAAGGCTGCTCCGGCAGCCCGTACTGCTCTCTCAGCCGGTGCCGGTAAGGGTACGAGTACAAGCACGCCACGCCTATTTGCGCCAGCAAGCAAAACAGAAGCCCCGACGGAAAGCAAGCTGCCACAGTGATCGTATGTACAAACATCAGCAAAAACCCAAATAAACAAACAAACAAACAAAAACCACCCGGATTCGAACAGAAAATCTCGAAAACTCAACCAGTTGGTTCAAGTATACATCACTCTCTTACCGTTTGTGCTGGGAATGAAGAACTTACTTGTATCATTTCTGTCAAGGATGACAGCATTTTGGCCGAAGGTAATGCACGGGCAGCAACTTGTTTTGACGCAGCTGCCAGGATCTTCACAGCAGCCGAAGAGGCCTGTGGTCCATTTCCCTGCAGGAGCCGCCGGTGCACTAGGGTCGTTCATGTTGGCCTGAGTTGGATTCATTCTCCCGCGCGCTGGTCGAACGGAGATGATGATACAGTAATATTAGAGGCTCACTGGTCGCTGATAATGATTAACTCGATCGGAGTAATCCTGATTATATATATACAAAGATAGACTCGCGTGGCTTCTTAGTTATTGCTGTCTGCCTTCCCATTGATTGATATCATTTGTATCGTTATCAATGGACGAGCTAAAGACCCCAATTATGGCAGGGCATCGCATGGATTTAAGCATTTTCGCCGTCCATTTTAGTTTACGCGGTTTCCAGTTTTGTTTGTTGCTCTATTCTTTTGTCATATTCATTATTTCATCTATCTCATCTACTCCCCATCGTTGGGAATAATTGGATATTGACATGGTATCACAGTTTTTCCTGACAAAGATTTTTTGTTTGAATGTGACCTCATTTGTCATGCACATAAAATTTCGACATGTGCAAACTTCAAACTCATATATAGCAACTTTCGTTCCAAGAAATGTGTTAGTAAGTGGTATACGATTCATAATCAATAACATAGCAATATTTAAGAAAGTAATATATAGAATGTATAGCATTCGTGAAACAACATCGTAATCATATCGGTTGAATTGTATATGACTGGATCCAGAGAGTACTCCCCTGTATTTATTATACAAATTTGTTTGCAAGTGAGGATTGTGTTATTACTGCGCTCCTCCTACATATCAGGAAATCGCCGAAATCGAGAAAGCGAGAATACGAAAGCGAGAATCGAAAATACGACAGACGATTTACGTGGTTCACTAACACGATGCGTGTTAGCTAGTCCACAGGTGAGAGAGAGCCGATTTCACTATATCAAGGAGATTACGGAGGAGATGAGACCCCGACTTCCAGTCATAGCGGCTGATAGTTCGATTCAAGTCACACAACAGATTGAATGCGGAAAAAAAAAAAACTTGATGCATGTGTGAAGGTTATTGCTTGAAATCGTATAAGCCAATTAGATGTCAGCAGTTATCTTTAAGCTATGGCTAGTAGTAAGTTATTGCATGGTGGAGAGGGGAAGATGACAAGAATGGAAACCAGCTCCAAATACCTACCGTGGGTTACAAGTTACAAGGTGGGCAGTGGATGGCGGGGCAGAGAGTCCCCTGAACCTGAAGCCACATAAAAGAACCAGCCAAAGAGGGAAGACTTTGAATGGGTCAGTCAACTTTGAGTCATCAGCTTCCACGTCGTTGTGGAGATTTTATGGCATGTATACTTGTGGAAAAAATGAATGGCAGCTAAGAACGAACGGTAGGTGTCGTCATACTGGTTAATTTTCGAAAAACATTATTTAGATTAGTGTCGTGGCCTAGTGCTTTACTTTGTTCTGGATCCGTCGTAGTTGGAGTTGGGATGATCTGTTGTAATAGTGTATAGAAAGGTGGGGTAACAGATCAGATATGAGTAAGGTTTATAGAGCTGTTTGGAGTGTGGAGATTAGCCTGCTTTGGCCTTAACGTAGTTCTCGATCATATGGGGACAAGGTATTGCATGAAAATTAAGAGAATAGTTTGCTGGAAGGCTGAAGTTGTATACAGGTCTGAAGGCTGGCTTAGGCTTTATCATTGATGATAGGGGTCGAAGTTTGGTTTGGGGGTTGCGGGTAATTCGGAAATCGCATCAAATCGTATATTTTGTGTGTAGTTTGTGGATAGTGAGTTGGGTGTGGTTAGCAAAATATTGATATTTTGTGGATAGTGATTAACCATTATCCACACCTGGTAAACAACAATAACCTCACTAATTATATTTATTTGTTAATAATGGTTTATTATATCATGGTATGTGAAATGTGGAAGGCTAAAACATAAAGTAACCCCAAAATCAAACACACTGCACACACTTATTTTATAAAACAAAACCAAGTCTGTGTGTGTGATACTTTTATCAAATAAGATATGTCCATATGAAATATTTTTATTTTATAAAAAAAAACAAGTCAATAATAAGTCGGATAAAGTAATCGATTCATTAGGGGATAATTGATTTACCGTTTAGTTAACACTTTAATAAATTTATTTTTTATATGTTTTTGTGTGAGAAGAAACATAACATCAATATTAATTACCATATTCAATAATAATAAAAAATTGGATATCCACAAAAAAATCGCACCAATACTCGCCCAATTTCCACCCTCGTAGATTGATTTTTTAGAGTAGTGTCTTTTCTTTGCTTACTTTGATGGTTGTAATTGGGTTTGAGAGGCCCCCAAAAGATTTTTTTAAGTCTGAGGTTGATGAAATTTTTTATTAATTTTAACATTTTAGGTAAATTTTACATTTACAAAACATGGGAAAGATTCATGATTAATAGTAAAAAACTGGGGAGGGATTATGGTGATTACTACGAATTAGTAATCACCATGATTACTAAGGGCAAATTGGGAACGAAAAAGGACGAAATTTGGCTGCTACCAGCCCATGTGGCTACCATTTATTGGTCCAAATTAATTTAATTAATTATTAAATGATAATTGTGTTTGGACGGGACGGAGAAGTGGAACTTGACAGATTCTTTTGGACAAGACATGGGACGGTGATGAAGTGGATACATGTGTTTCTCAAATGTCTCTTTTATGTATCTACACCTTTTATAAAAGCTGGAAGCCAAAAACTCAAACACCATTTCAAATTTCCGACGCTCAGAGCGTTTGTAGGAAGAATATTTTGGTATTCACAATTATTATTTTTTATTCATTAAAAATACACGTACTGGGATTCGAACCATGACCATTTTAAAGAAAAGCAAGGATAATAACCAATCACACTAAATACATTTGTTGTATATTTTTAAATTAAAAACATATAATAGCAGGGAGGAAAAAACCCTTCCCCCATTTCAAATTCCTTGCTCCAGGAGCGTTTGTAGGAAGGGTAGAATAGGGAGTGTCAATTTGTTTCTCTTTCCTCTGTGGAACGGGCCAACTTACTGTACACATGCGAATTTAAACGGGTCTAGGAGTGTCAATTTTTTTTCTTTATGCCCTTTTATTTCTCCGTGGTGATAAAATATATATGAAAAGGCAAAAATAATACTCCTTTTTATTGTTTAAAATAAAAAAATTTAATAATAAACTAATGCATGGTATCTAATGGGCTAACTGCTAACCATAAAATAAAAGAGTTGAATGGGTCTGACTTAAATTGGATTTGGCCATCAAGTAAAATAAATAAACATCATTGGTTTGTCATTCTAAAACAAGCTATTTTCTCTGGAATAATATATATTATGCTATTATTTTAGATCTTAGTGGCTAAAATATAATGTATTTTAAAGTTATTCAATGGTTCAACCTCGACCAACCCAATTAGTCCAATTTTTATCATTTCAAATATGTATTTTATAATTATTTGATATCATAATGATCAAATTATAGTGTATTTTATAGGGAATCGTTTGGTATTTGTTAGTAAAAAATTAAACATAAAGATCTATTTGGTTATTTTGAACATTAAAACGATCCTAAACATTTTCAGTTCCTTTTGAATTTCTATGGTTTTATTCCCGAATAAGTGATGTGAAAATGGCGAATTGTAGTCGTCTCTTTTCTTTCACTATTTTTTATTTTCAAATAGAAAGTTTAAAAGTAAAGAATAATTAGAATTTGGCATGGTCGGTTAAACAGGCTGAATTTCAAGTTTTGGCTCGTTTGTTTTATGTATTGCAAATTTATTAGCATGTTGGGGAATTAATGGGGAGGCCGCTCGGCCCCCCAGGCCGATTTATATATTTTTTTAATAATAAAATAATAATAATTATTATTACTACTAATCCGCGATTGCAACTTTTAGTACGCAATTGTCAACCCAACCGATCACGTATTATGGTCAAACCATAACCCAAAATTCGGGGTGTTACATTTCCTCCACCCTTATAAAAATTTCGTCCCCGAAATTTGAACGGTAGAGCAATCACTTGAACGATTTAACGCTGTATTCGAAGGAACGATGCTAGTTGGGATATAACATTTCCCTCTCCCTTAAGAAATTTCGACCTCGAAATTGTAGGTTGAACTGGGTTGGTAGCTATCGTGAAACCGGACTGAACCCCCAGGTGTTATTATTGAAAGGAAACTAGAAATGGAAACTAAAAAGAGAACTAAAAGTGAGAGTACACAGAAGTTCACCCACTAACGATATAAACACCATTAAAACAACTCTGGGTACTTCTCTCTCATACTACTCTCTGTCTCCCGAGTCGCAGCCTCGCTGCCCTGGTTTCTCCATACCACCTTTACCATGGCAATCTTCTTCCTTGTCAACTCCTTTTCCTGCCTATCCACGATCAGGATTGGAACCTCCACATAGGTCAAATCATCTTCCAACTGGATGTCCTCGTGTCTGATCACATGCTCCGGGTTGGATCGATACGCCCTTAGCATGCTGACGTGAAAAACGTCGTGGATCCTAGATAGGCTGGGAGGTAAGGCTAGTCGATAGGCTAAGGGTCCAATGCGCTCCAACACCTCATATGGACCAATATACCTCGGACTAAGTTTTCTCTTCTTACCAAATCTCATCACTCCCTTCCAAGGGGACACCCTTAGGAATACCATATCCCCCACTTCATAACTTCGTGGGTTCCCTGGCCTCTCGGCATTACTCTTCTGTCCTGAGCTACTTTCAAGTTCCGGCAAATCACCTCCACCTTCTCCACTGCCTTCTGTACCATCTCCGGACCCTCTAGCTGTCGCACGCCCTCTGCATCCCAGTACAATGGTGTACGACACTTCCTCCCATACAATACCTCATATTGAGCTGCTTGTATCGAGGTGTGATACTGGTTGTTGTAAGCAAACTCCATTAAAGGCAAATGCTCGTCCCAAGCTCCTTCCATGGTCAAGACACACGCCCTCAACGGGTCCATTAGTGGCTGAATCGTCCTCTCTGACTGCCCATCTGTCTGGGGGTGATATGCGGTAGAGAAGTGAACTTTAGTGCCCATTGCCTTTTGAAGACTCACCCAGAATCGTGCTGTGAAGCTAGGGTCGTGATCAGACACGATACTAAGTGGAACTCCATGCAATCTCACTATCTCTCTCACATACAGCCTAGCCAGCTCCTCCAACCCTGG